TTTGGGGCGAAACAAATAAATATGCAGCAAACTAAAGCATTAAAACAGCGCGATTTACCTTTAAACAGGAGAAACAGAACATCTATCAGCTTACAAAGTGAACAGTCGATACGCTCAGAGGGCTTTGTTGCAACAGAAGTAAATAATCTACTGGAGCACGTTTTAAATGGATGTTTAAAGGAAAGATGAAATTACTGAGTCAGTGCCCAAAGTTTCTTCTGGACTTGCTCTCCAAGTCTTTAAGCATTAGCTGAGGTTTAATTATGAGGCATCGAGACTATAGAGGTTATGTTTGGACCAGAACTCACTGACTGGGGTGTTTGTTTTTTACGTAATGTTAAAAATTGAGGCGACTGAAATGATGGTTTTGACAGTATAGCGGCTGTACTGCTTTTCGTGCTGATTTTTTGTTATGATATTACCGTCTGTCGATCTTATTTTAAGGTTTTAAGGGATGTTGACGAATTAAATTGTGAAAATGCGAGCTAGGGATGCAGACGTTTCTGTCGTTAAAAGGTAAGACAATCAGATTCTACATTTTTCTTATTTTAACAGATCAAATTCTACATTTTTGTTTTATTTAACAGGTCAAGTTCTATATATTTTTCTTATTTTTAGCAGGTTATATTCTCTATATTTGTCTTAATTTTGACAGTTCAAACTCTATATATATTTTTCCTATTTTAAGTTTACATTATTCATATATTTGACAGTTCAAATTCAACATTTTTCTGATTTTTAACAAGTCAGATTCTACATTTTTTTCTTATTTTTAACACGTTAGAGTTTATATATTTGTCTAATTTTTGACGAGTCAGATTTTATATATTTTTCCTATTTTAACAGGTCAAATTATACATTTGTTTCTTATTTTTAAACAGGCTCGATTCTATATTCTTTTCTTATTTTTAACAGTTCAACTTCTACATATTTTTCTTTTAATTAACAGGTCGAATTGTTTTTTTTCTTTTATATTGTGAAATACATTTGTTTTATTTTTCTAAATTCTGTATTTTTATTATCTTTATTAAGTCAGATTCTATATATTTTCTTGTTCCCATAGTCACCAGCAAATTACACTAATCACCCCTTGATATTACAACATCTACAGACGGGCGACAGATTAAAAGTAAACCCAGAATAAAGTGTGTTATGAGCTTTTTGGGTCACTACATACCACCAGAATGGCTTCTATGCAGCTTTTCCTCTAGTTTCTGGAACTCTACTGGAGGAATGAACACAAGTCTTCCTAAAAATATTCCTTTTTTTTTGTGTTTTGATGATGACAGCGACGAGCTCTGTCCAACCTCCCAAACCTCCCATAGGTGCTCAGCTGGGCTGAGATGTGGTAACAGCCACAGCGTGAGATTTACATAATGTTCCTGCCCTGCTGATGGAGGTACTGTCGTCCTGGAGATATAAATGTTCCATCAGAGGATAAAGGCGATCACTCAGAACCACTTTGTATTGATCTGCAGTGACTTTTCCCTCTTAGGGGGACAAGTGGACCCGAACCAGGCCAGAAAAATGCCTCCGACAGCAGGTCTCCTCAGCGGAGGGTCAAAGGCTCGGGTTTTTCCTTTAATCCGTGACCCGTCTGTATTCTGATCGATATTTTAGAGATTTACATCTTCGCTGGGACAGATGAGGCGACACACAGAGCAGAGAAGAAGGAGGAGATGGAAAAACTACAGAAAATCAACACGGACGTCTTAAACTTTGCATCAAGACGCCTTTAAAAGCAGGTTCAGCTTCTCCAGGATCATGTAACTCTTGATGCGTCATGTTTGTAAAGGCTAAGGAGTGCCGTGGACTGTTTGAAGTGCTGCTATTGACCAGCCCAGATTCACCAAATACCACACGGAGACACTGAATGTACCAGAGCAGCCGAACTGCTGACACATCACCGTCACAGGCGGCCTCTAACCTTCAAGCGACCAACCGGGCCGACGGGAGGAGAGCGGTTCCCCTTTCGTCTCATGTTCACGGGTCTATGTGAGTGGAAGCGTGGCCCGGTCCACTGCTAGTCGCTTTTATTAAACCGCTTTGTGCCAGTTCTGATTAGTACTGGACAGATTTTGTTCCTTCTCAAAGCATCAGGGTTCTTCTGTTCGAACGCTTCTGATCCGCTTTCAACCTTTTTAATCATAAACGGTGCATATTTAAAATGGTATCTGTGCCGTTGTAGCTTGATATTAAATACTATCCGAGATATTCTTTTTAAAATCTGCCCTTCGACCCACTTTCAGCAGATTTTTTGATTTGTTTGAACAACAGTTTTCACTGCCGGTTCTCATCATGACTCAGATCTACTGATCTCTGGTTATGGGGGAGTGGAAATATGAAATTTAAATTTGATGCCATCATGGAAAGTCCCATCTTTGAGCTCATATTAACACAAAAAAATGACAATGCAGAAGTCAGCTGGTGATATTTTCTGAACCACAAATAGTAGCTCGGAACAATAACACAAAATAAAACACATAGAACAGTTCAGAAACAGTCCTAGAAGCAGCAGAGTCCAGTTTAGACCATAATGCATTGCTGCTAACAGTGCAAAACACAATATTTGTGTTTATTCACTGTCATTTTTAGCCTACATGTGAATGTAGGAGCTGCTTTACAGGAGGTGTTGGAAGGCATGATGGGAAGAAATCACACAAAGTATTGTTTGTAGGGTTGATATTAGGAAAAGGTTTGTGCACTAAAGCATTCTTGATGAGGAGCAAAATGTCATTTAAGATCAAAATCCATACATACGGTATATTTGTCTGCTTTTTAATGGGTCAGATTTTCTATGTTCCTCTTATATTTTGTGTGTCAGATTCTACATTTTTCTCATTCTAAAAAGGCAAATTTTATATTTTTTTATGATTTTTAACAGGTCAAAATCTACATTTTTTTTATTTTTAATAAGGTGTATTTTATATATTTCTCTGATTTTTAATAGGTCAAAATGTATATATTTTTCTTATATAAGCGTGTTAAATTCTACATTTTTCTTATTTTAAAACGGCAGACTTTATCATTTTTTCTCATTTTTAACTGGTCAACATCTACATTTTTCTAATTTTTAATAGACCATTTTTAAAAAAATATATTTTCCTTATATTAGCATGTCAAATTCTACATTTTTCTTATTTTAAAAAGGCCAATTTTACACATTTTTTTTTTACATGACAGAGTCTATGTTTTCCCATTTCTAATTGGTCAAATTGTATTTATATTTTTCTTATTTGTGACAAGTCAAATTCTACATTTTTAACAAGTTTAAGTCTACATTTTTCTTGTTTTTAACAGATTTAATTCTACATTTTTCTAATTTAACAATCCTAGGAGCTCCTGCACTTCTCTTTCAGGGTTTCTGAACTTGTTCAGTTCGTCAAGCTCACCTCCTGGATGAGAAAAGTCCAGCTGCTCTTACGAAAAGGCGACTAATCCACACCCATGATCATCAGTAAGAGGGCAGAACTTCCTCCACGGACTTGTTTACCATCAAACTTCTGTATTGCGGTGGGTCGGCTTCAGTAAAACAACATGTTATGCTAAAAATACCTTGAAGCTTTGGGGGATCATGAAACTGCTGGTTAATCCCTGGATTTGGGACAGCCATTAATCCGTCCTGCTCTACGTCAGGCCTCGGCTATGGGCAAATAACATTTTAGGAGCACCTGATGTAAACAGAGACGGAGGTGAGGGTTTGTGGAAAAAGCGCATCTGTACATATGGTTTCTGTGGTTGAATGTCGCCCTGGTTTTATCACATTTTGCTGTTTATCTTAAACAGAGCTCCCAAAAGAAGAGGTATTGGATCTCAGTGGGACATTCATGGCAAAATAAAGGACAAATAAACAATAAAAAGTGCGTTTTTCCAGTATCTTATACATCTGTTTATCTACAGTTCACAGGAAAATACTGCTCTTTTTGCATTATTGCATTATTTTTACAAGTCTGCAGATGCAGATGAAGCTTTTTACGTATATGTTTCCTATTTTTTATCATATTTTGCCGTTGATCTTAACCAGGACTCCCTAATAGAAGAGATATTGGATCTAAATGGGACATTCATGGCAAAATAAAGGATAAATAAACAATAAACCTGTTCTGTCATGACGTTTCATAGAAAAATGTTGCTCTTTTTGCATAATTACATAAGTTTGCAGACGCAGATGAAGCTTTTTAAATGCATGTTTCCTATTTTTTAATCATATTTTGCTGCCTGTCTTAACCAGAACTCCCTAATAAAGGACAAATAAACAAAAAAATGCATTTTTTACAATATTTTATACATGTGCTTCACTACATATCCTTGCTAAATATTGCTCTTTTCACACAACTACATTAGTTTCACAAGTCTGCAGATGCAGATGAAGCTTTTTACGTGTATGTTTCCTTTTTTTTTATCATATTTTGCTGTTGATCGTAACCAGACCTCCCTAACAGAAGCGATATTGGATGTAAATGGGACATTCATGGCAAAATAAAGGACAAAATAAACAATAAAACTGTATTTTCACTACATTTCACCAGAAAATTTTTCTCTTTTTGCATAACTGCATTAGTTTTACAAGTTTGCAGACGCAGATGAAGCTCTTTACGTGTACATTTTTGCACAGCAGGTCGAGCTACTTGCACATTTCTGTTGCTTTTTAACCCCTTCTGCATGCATTTGTTTATCACAGTCAGGTTTTCAGGACACACCAGTGTTTCCTGGAGGGGTTGACAGGTTTGCAAAAGTTGTTTAGCCTCAGTGTTGATGGAGAAGATGTGGCTGGAGTTAGTTTGGAGGAGGGAGGGTGTGTCTGCAGGGCCCTGATGCAGCAGCAGCAGCAGCAGCAGCTCGGATCTGACAGCTGGCTTTATGTCTCACAACAAAAAAACTGTGCAGGAAGAAGAAACACCCTGATCTGTGCAGAAAGCATACGAGGCACACGCAGCTTCCTCCCCCTGCTGCATGCTCCAAACACACACACACACACACACACACACGCTTGAACTTACTCGTTTTTCACGCATCTGCTCTCATGAAACACTTTATCCAGCTGGACCACAGCCTGCCCCAGGAACACGTCCAGCCCGATGAGCGCCCGGTGCATCACGGTGAGGACGAGCTCGTTGCTGCCGGCCGGGTACCCGCTCCTGCCGCCGCTCCTCTCCAGCACGCCGGGCTGCAGCTCGAAGGAGCACTCCTCCCTCCACTCGGGCTCGGTGGTCTTCTCCACCACGCACGTCGAGTACTTCTCCTTGCCCAGCTGGATGATGGTGTACACGTCGCTGGTGCCGTGCTTGCCCTTGCCCCGTAAGCCTCTTCCTCTCAGCACCGTCACCTGGACGTGCGTCGGTAGCCATCTCTGGTCCTCCTCCACGGTTAGCGAGGACATGTCCACCCTCCCTCCCTCCCTCGCTCCACCAGCCCTCCGCTCTCCAGACGCACCGAGGACGAGGCAACAGCGGCGGGGGGGGGGGAAGAGAGAGAGGTGGTGCCGGTGTCCGCCCGCTCCCTCCCTGCTCCGGCTTGAGGGGGGGAAACAGTCACATCAGCTCCGGGGTCAGCGGGCGACGATGCCGCATTATGGCCGGTGCTTGCTCGCCCCCCCTGGCTGCCTCTGTGCGTGTCCGTCGGCGGTTGAGCTCTGCGGCAGCGTCCGTCCTCCTGCCTCCTCTCTCCCCGCCGTCCGGGCCTGTCTGCGGGCAGCGACGTCACGCCTCCATCGTCGTCGCTCCGCAGGACGAGGAAGTTGAGCAACACATGGCTGCCCGTGAACGCGCCTGTGCAGAGAGCAGGGCGGGATGGTCCCTCCGTCGGCGTGTTGTTCCGCCGCCGGAGCAGCGTTCACACCGAGCCGTGCTCAGAGCTGCTGCTGCTGCTGCTGCTGCTGCTGCAGGCCTCCGAGCTGCAACACTGAAAGACTGCACAGGAGAGGCAGCATGCAGCGAGAGAAACACAAGAGCCCCCAGGACACGGTGCACATGTTCACAGCAACACAGGGAGGATACAGGAGCAGCTCCTTTACTGTCACTGTGTGCAGCTTTTTTGAAATGTGCACATATGAAAAACCTGATAGAGAAATGGTATGTGCAAGGGAAGAGTTCACTTTATTTGAATATAAAAACATGTCAAACCAACACGGAGGTTAAATGAGGTCAAAAACACAGTAACTCCCAACAATCAGACATTTTTAAAGGTAAAGTAAGAAATGTGCACATATGAAACATAAAAATCTAATAAAGAGGAATAGTATGAGCAAGTGAAGAGTTCATTTGCTAAACCAGATAACTCCATCTTCACCAACCTTCAGAAAACCCACTTTTCCATCGTCTACCTGAGACAGCATCAATCAGACTTCAGTCATCTCTATTGTTGTCATTTCTACTGAGTCAGATCCACTCACCTTGATTGATATCATCTTAAGCAAACGACAAAAAAAATAAAAATAAAATCTACAAAAATGGAGTTATCTGTTTCTGCAAATGAGCTCTTCAAGTGTGATCTATGAAAACAGCGATGAAGCTTATTGTTGACGTTAAAAATATAACTGATGGTGCACATTGCTGAACATATGCAGAAGTGCATTGACTTAAAGTAGCCCAGAAAAGTCATGACATGAACTTTTACAGTTTCTTAGACAATGAGTTTTCTTTTTTTTTTCTTAAACTTAAAGATATTCGGTTTACTTGACTATAAAAACACACCTTTGTCAAACCAACATGGAGGTTAAATGAGGTTTTTGGTCTTTAATGCAAATACATAGCTTGAAAACTGGCTTAAGCCACAAACCACAGATCAGAAAAGCTGCATATTCATTTTTCTGTCAGACCGATTGACTGATTGTTGCAGCTTTAATCTTGATGAAGGTGTAAAACCTGACATGAAAGAGGGATCTAGTCTAAAGATTTAACGTGTTTTGCGCAAACCAGAGGGCAAAAATGGACCACAAGATCATACTAAATATGTTTTCATCTTGCATATAACGGTGTTTTGTTGATGCACTTCCAATAACTAAAGGCTGTTTAGGCCTTTTGGTCATATAGTCCAGTTACTTTAATGCTGAGACAAAGTACAACAATGAAACTAGCTTGAAAACTGCCTTAAACTGTAACGCAAAGACGAAAACAGTTGCATGTACACTTTCTGTCACAAACTGCTGCAGCTTTAATCTAATGACAGCGTAAACCTGAGTTCAAAGAGTGATTTTGCACTTTTTGTGCAAACAAGAGGGCACAAAGTTGACAACCAGATCATAACAGATGTGCTTTTATCCTGTACATAGAGTTGTTTTGTTCAAGCACCTCCAGCAACTAAAGGCTGTTTATGCCTGTTTATCACAGAGACTCAAAGATACTCCAGTTATTTATTGTTAGAAGACAGAACAGCAGTACAGTTTCACATTTCAGGATCTTGAACCAACTTGAAAACTAAATTAACCCACAAAGTGAAGATTAAACTAGCTGCACGTTAATGTTCTGTCACAAATTGTTGCAGCTCTTATCTGATGAAGGCATAAACTCGGACATGACAGAAGAGTTTAAGTGAAATATGTTCAAAGATTTTGTGCTTTTTCTACAAACTAGAACTCACAACTTGCTCATAAAGGTGTTTTGTTCATGTACCTCCAATAACTGAGTCTAAAACTCAAAGCTTTGCCATTTGTTTTCATTTTAAGACTGAAAACAGCAATAAATGTTCTAGGTTCAGAGACAGGAGCAAACCTGAAAACTGAATTAAACTGCAAAATGATGAAGGTGCAAAACCTGAGATGAAAAGAGGATCTAAGTTGCATAAGAGTTTATTCTTTTTGTGCAAACTAGAGGATATAATTGACCACCACATCATAACAGACGTGCTTTTGTCTTGCACGCTTTCATAAAACTAAACCAAGGCCGAATTCTCACTCTGAATACCCTGAACGCTCGCAGCTCATCTTTCTGACTGTGTCGACTCTCGGCAGCATCGCACAGCCTCCGTCAGTGGGTGGAGGTTGCTCTGTTGTCATGGAGACGGATCTGTTGTCGGGCATGCTCAGTAGCCGTTTCATCCACGCAGCAGTTTTTGGATTTCTTCTTCTTCTTCTTCTTCCTCCACACTGATGTGAACATTTGATCTCGACAAAACGAGTACAGCTCAAGGTCCACTTACTGGCTTTAAGGATCTTGAGATGTTGAGGTCAGAGGTCTTTAGATTTTAACATGATACTTGCACCATTTTCAAGGTATTTCATAAAAATTATTGAAAACTGTAAGACTGTGCTCCTTCTTTGCAGCCAGTGATGTGTTTTTTTGTCATTCTTTTGATTATTCGTAGTTATTTTTTTGTTTTCTTTAAAAAGAAAATACAGTTTGGCCTCAGATGTTCTGGCTTTCACGTAGTTTTTTGCAGGTCAGGCAGGTATTCGTTCAGCTCGGCTTCACAGTGTCCTGCTACATTTCACTCTGACAGTCTGCACGTCAGTGTTTCACATATTTAGAAACAGGTGCAGGTTCTGGCTCACAACATAACACACAGCACATGCTGCAAGATCAGACTTTAGTCAAAAATATGTCCTTGAACTGTCCTATAAATAAAACCGCTACCCCAGGTAGAAGCTTTAGCAGAACCTGCACAGCGCTGTGAAGTATGTTTACTCAAGTTCTGTATTTAAGTACAATTTTGAGGTACATTACGTGAGCTTTTCCATTTTATGCTGCTTTATACGTCGACTCCACCACATTTCAGAACAAAATATTCTACCTTCAGCTCCACTACGGTTATTTTTCAGCTTTTAAGATAAAGATTTTAAACATAATGTGTATAATTTACATCGTAAACGATTAAACTAATGGTGCAAAAATCTGTGAGAATTCAGGCTCATTTCAAACACTGATGACTTTTGAACAGCTCCTTTAAATAGTGATTTTTGGCTTTATTTCAATAAAACAGTCCAATATCTCAAGAAAAACTGGACACAGATCGGCATATTAGAGCTTTTTTTTCTATTAATCATGTTTGGAGCCCTCAGATTTATCTGCTGTCTCTATATAAAACTGTGTAAAGTAATCAAAACCTGCAGCAGCGACAGCAGTAACATGCTGCTGGCACACTGCTGCTGCATTATTAATAATCTAATCATGTCATATATAATAATATATCAGTCAGAGGAACCAAACCAGGACTTTTACATGAGTACTTTAACAGCATAGCTTGATTCATTTTGTCTATTTTGATTTTTGGTATAAGGTTCTTTTTTTTAATCAGACAATGAGTATTTTTTCGATAGGAGCTGTTATTTTACCTTGACATGCTTGGACTGTCACTTCAGTCTTCCTCAGAAACGCCATCTGACGTCTGTGGTGACGCGTCTTTATCAGTTTCTGAGGAAGACCGAAGTGACAGTCGAAACATGTCAAGGTAAAAACAGCTCCTATCTAAAAAAATACTCATTGTCTGGCAAAAAAAGGAATCTTATACTTTAACTGCATGTTGCTGCAAATACTTATCAGTCTTTACTTACGTAAGATTTTTCATGCAGGACTTTTACTTGTAATGGAGTATTTTTTATATATACTTTTATTTAAGTGAAGTATCTGAATGCTTGTTCCACTGCTGGAGCTGCATTGACAGATGGACACCAGAAGGTTTCCAGACTGTAACGAATGAACGTGAAGCGGCATTTTAAGAGCTGCTCGGTGATGTTTTTGTGCTGCTTAGTGATGGACAAAAACATTCAATAAACATGTTCGCTTGGCCTCTTCAGTCTCAGAGTAAATATTAACAGTGTTCACAGCAAAACGGAGCAACTGGAGGAAGTGTGCAGCTTTTCTGCCAAAATAAAACAAAATATAAGGGAAGATTAAACAAAATAAGAGTTAAAATTACAAAAATTGTATCAATATAGAATGAAGGATTTGTTTATATAAAATAGCCATTTGAACACACTTTGTGTCTTTTACAAAGCCTAGAAGTAACCCAGAATACAACTGACTGAACTTTTTATAAACCGACTTTTCATAGAGAAATATGCAAAATATGCAAATGAATTCAAGCTGTGCAATTATAGCACTTTGAAACTGTGCCTTAAGTCTCTTTCTATAAGTTTTAATGCTTTAATGCTCAATTTAGTGTTTATTTGTTAGATAGTAGCTGATGATAAGAACTCAGGGACGATTTCACAAACTTAGAAATGGATTCAGAAACAGCAGGTGCATCGACATCAGGTTAACATCTTCTTTCTAATAATTTTCAAAATCTTGTGCATATCTTTTTTTGTGCAAAGTGTGCAAGGCTGCAGGAGGGATTGTAAGCTCCGGGGGTGGTGGGGGTCTGGTGAATGGTCCATCTCAGCAAATATTTAATCCTCTCGCTGTTTATGCTCACAGACAATCCACTCTTATGTAATACACATTTCCTGTTGTTATATGCAGAGTTATTTTTTTTTATAGTCGCTAACATTCTGAGCAAGTTAAATACAATAAATGTAGTGTTGTTTGTTTGTTTGTTTTTAAATATTGTTTATTTGAATGCGTAATGAATCTTGGGGGGGAAACTCAAATAGAACTCAACAGATCTGTGGGCTTCTAGCTGGGTTCAATACATGCTGGAGGGGATCCTAAACTGTTAAACAAATCACATTCAGGCCACACGGCGTCTAAATATCCCTCTGTACTGTTAGTTTGGGAGCAGTT